CTATATTAAAAGAGCCACCTGGCTTGAGGGTGATGTATATGCCAGGAATGATAAAGAGTTGGATTTTTAAGAAAATGTAATTCTTAGAAAAGTTTCAGTATGGATGAATAATCACAAATATAGAGCTACTTTGGTGTTTGGCATTTGTAATGGCCAGACTTCAAAAAGACTGGAAAACACAAATTAAACATTAATTAACAACCCAAAATCACTTATGGAATTTCCCACAACTTGTGACATAAGTGTCCCCTAGGGTAAGAAGGGTTAGTTTAGTCAAGGATGCTGACATAGTTGATGGCTAGCTCAGCACACATCACTATAGAATAATGTTCCAAATAACTTTTCTGGGCACCAGATTTAACCTGTATCTCCTATGTTGCAAGTCCAAAGTGATATTAATTGAGCCATGGTATCCAATCCAATATAAATACATAAACAGTATATCAAAACAATGATATTCTAATCCTTTCTTCCATTAGTTATCAATATACATAATAACTCTGAGTTTTATGACATCTTGTAGAACTAGTCATGAAAATCAGGCACTCACCAGGAACCTCTCGTACACGGTCGGCCAAGAATTTTATGTTGTTGTGGGCAGGGAGAAAGCGAAGAGTATCAAGGTCATAAGCATCCAGGGGAGGAACACCATGTACTATCAATTCTGCAATTATGGAGCCAATTCCACCAGCTGCACTGCTACCACCACTTCTCAGCCCAGCAGCCACCAAGTAGTTTGTAAGCTGCAAGTTTTTAAAGTTTTACTATTTCATATATTATGCATTAAAGACCATCCAAATACAATCTATAATATGGTGAATACACTTTATAAAGAAAAAACAACTTCCCTACTGCCTATCTAAATGCTTCCCTTCTCATAATAAATAGTTTTTGTTATATAAACACTTACCTCAGGCACCATTCCAATGATCCATCTGTGATCCATCGAAAATGCACATGAAGTATTACTTAGTCGGCCAAGAACAGAATTCTTCATTATTGGTGCTCGATGTAGCATCTCCTTCAGTAAGACATGGAAATGATCCCAGTCCTCAAGTTGATCCCGCTCCTGCAACTGACCTGTCAAATAATCATGGCAATAACAGCTGCAACAATCCCATGTCAATCTATTTATATATTTTTCTATTTAAGTAAAGTTCCCAACACTTACAGTAAGGTATAGTAATTCACCCTGGATTTTTAGGCATGTTGACGATTTAATTTATTCAAGAAGGAATTACAGTAATATAGTGATATCCCCGTTGGCTGGAACAATTGGTGCAGAGCACTTCCAGGGATGAGATATCTCCAGCTAACCAGACGACTTTCTCAAAATCGGGAAAAATTCCTTATCCCAGGAATCTTTTCCAGTTACTGGTAAAAGTTTCCGAGTGTCTAAACTAGACATCTCGCACAGACGGACACTAGCCCACTTCCCCAGAAAATTTCTGGGTGCTGGGGATGTTTTCCAGGAGTCTAAACTACCGGAGTCCATAAATGCAGTTCAAATTAAGTTAGAAACTTCATTTCTTTAGCATAATAATCCAGAACAGCTTATATAAAAGTTTGGTTAAATAAATATACAGGATTTGAAAGTTAAAAATCTATATGATATGGGCATCAATAAAGCTGTGTGTTACAGCAAAGACTGTTACTTTGCACTCCCATAGAACAGTGAGGGATTAGTGCGACTAGTGTACCTGACCTGGCCTGACGCAATATCAGGTGGATGTAGGGTGGGGGATTAGTGGTCTCATATTACTGACCTTCTGATGGAATATTGGGTCACCCTTTCTTGGCTGGGGGATTAGTGGGTCTCATTACCTGAAGATGTCTTGAATAAACACGAAAGCGAAAGTATTTGTCGGGAGATTGTGATAAGTATAAGTATAAATGAGTAAAGTTATATCCCTTCAACATTACGTTACATAACATTTTAAAATATGGAGTGAGATAGTAGAAAGGTGTGGGTAATTAGAGAGCTGGAATGTAAATGAGTGTTGCCAAGCGTTCCTCAACAACTGATATTTAACTCACTGAACTACCTGGCCCAAGCCGCCCCAAGCCCAAGAAGGTGCAACGCGCCTTAAGTTATGATGGAAAGTACAAGATCGTCCAGGAGTTAGAAAAATGGGGGTTGCAGAGCCCAAGCCCTTCAGTGCTTCCGCTGGGTGGCTACAAGGTTTTAAACAACGCAACAAGATAACGAATATTGAGATAGTCGGAGAAGAAGCAAGTGCCGACAGGGCTGCCGCCGTGAATTTTCCCCCATTTTTACGGGAAATTATGGAGGAAGGCCAGTACACCGACGACCAAGTGTTTAATATGGATGAATCAGGGTTGTACTGGAAGAAATTGCCATCCAAGACCTTCATAGTCAAGTCTGTTAGCAAGTGTCGGGAACGCAAAATGCAGAAGGAGGGCATCACCGTACTGTTCACCACCAATGCCTCTGGCACTGCTAAGCTGAAGTTGTCTGTGATCCACAAAGCCCACAAGCCACATGCCTACAAGAATGTGGACATGAGCAAGTTTCACTTCTAACATAGGACTTCAAACACATCCAACGAAGCCCGTGTGGACATCAGTGTTCGAGGATTCTGGACGCGGGGACAGCGAGCCTTTTTCAGCATAAGGATTTTTGATCCTATGGCCGCATGTCACCGCAACCTAGCTCTCGATGCTGCACACAGGAGGAATGAGAACGACAAGTTTAGGACATATGGGGAGCGAATTCAGAACGTTGCTCAAGGCAGCTTCACTCCTCTGGTGTTCACAACCTCTGGTGGGATGGGACCAAGTGCAAGATACTTCTATGCTAAACTCTTTTAGGTGTTATCCGAACAGAAGCAGCATCCCAGAAGTTATGTTACAGCCTGGCTGAGGTGTCGACTGTCCTTCTCTCTCCTTAGGTCTGCTTAACTATGCCTCAGGGGAACAAGAGCATCGGCCCCGAAGCCGACAACAGTCGCAGATATCGACTTTGAGGCAACAGTTACTGAATGCCGCATAAATCTGCGGCTCAACTCGACACAGCCAGGGTAGCTACTTATGTATTAGGATAGTTAATTTTAAGGTAATAAAAAGGCGGCAAAGGTGTGGCTATTGGGGGAGGCTGAAAGCAAAGTTTAAAAAAATAAAAAAATAAAAAAATAGTTGTACAGTAGAACGTAGATTTAACGAGAACGCGAGATTCGTTCCAAGAAAGTTAAACCGTGCTTTAAACCGAATTCACAGTAAATCGGTATATCGAGGTGTTTCAATGGAATAACTTAGATTGGTACTTGAGAGAAACACAAAATACTAAAAAGACTAAAAGTCTACCCAGATGCACCTCAGCCCTTCTCCTAGAATAAACAAAACATTGTTTATTAAAGTATTATGTTAAAACAAACACTCATAAATCAACACAGCTAAAATTAAGGGACATGAAATGGTCTGTTTACTGGCTGGGAAGATGGTGGGGAGGGAGGGAGGTGAGGTGATATGTTTGACAGTTGATGCCAAGGTTTACCGTAGTGCTTATTTATTTATCTGTCCTTAAGAGTGACTAAGTTTTTCTCTTAAATAATTTCACTGAACTGACATGGGAGAATATAATTAACATTGCTGGAATTCTTATAAGATAGTGATTAATTTGAATATAAACATGCTATAGCTCGCATTAGACATACAAAGAGCAAAAACACTTTTCTCTTGTGCAAAATATATGACGTTTATATTCAAATTATTCGCTGTCTTGCAAGGAATCCAGCAATACAAATTATATTCTCCTAACTTTAGTCTGTGACATTATATAAGATAAAAACTGTAAGCCTAAAACCCTGGCTGGGCAGATGGGGGAGGGAGGGGAGGGGGAAAGGGAGGGAGCGAGGGAGGGGGAGGTGAGGTGATATGTTTGACAGTTGGCACCGAAGGTCTAATGTGTGTTTATTTATCAGCCAGTAAGAGTCACTAAGCTTTTCTCTTATAAAATGCCACTGAAATGACCTGGGAGAATATAATTTACATTGCTGGGATTCTTGTAAGATAGTGATTAATTTGAATATAAACAAGCTATAATTTGCACTAGACAAAAAAATTTTAGTACCATAATCATTTAGTACAGTACAGTACAGGTTTGCACTTAAGTCATATATTTCTTTTACATTTCTTTTAGTATGGTGTGTGCATGTAAATGAATAAAAGTAAATGAAGAAATTTATGTAAATTTACCCAAAAATACAGTTGAAAAACTTGTACAATATTAAAATGTACTGCACTTACCGGTATGTACTAAAATTTTTATCTCTTGTCCAAAATATATGAAGATTATATTCAAATTATTCACTGTCTTGCAAGGATTATAGCAATGCAAATTATATTCTCCTAACTTTAATCTGTGATATTATACAAGATAAAAACTGTAAGCCTAAAACACCAAACCCTGGCTGGGAAGATGGAGGGAGGGAGGGAGGGAGGGAGGGAGGGAGGGAGGTGACAGTGACATATTCGACAGTTGGAGCTGAAAATCTAGTGAAGTATTTATTTGTTTATTTATGTCCTTTAGCTTGAGTTTATGTTTTTTGCTTATAAAATGTCACAGAAGTGACCGGGGAGAATATAATTTACATTGCTGGAATTTTTATGAGATAGTGATTAATTTGAATATAAACATGCTATAGTTTGCACTAGACAAAAACTTTAGTAATCATTTAGTACATTACAGCTCCTCCCCGACTTACGACCACCCGGACATACGACCGCCTCAGTCGTACCAAAATTTTGTCAAATTGAGTATTTTCGAGTCCCAACGTCAGTGATTGCGCTGTGTACTGACAAAACTTTTGTTTGTAATTCACTTCATAATGGCTGGCAAGCTTAAAAGTGAGAGTTTTGTGGTGCTGAGAAGAAAAAGAGACACCCATTTTAGATTTTCTATGTATTATTTAAGCATTTTTTACTTACAACCATTTCGACTTACGACCTGGATTTGGGTCCCTAACCCCGTCGTAAGTCGGGGAGGAACTGTATTTTGAGTACATGTACAGTACAGCTTTGCCCTTATGACAGTGTAGCATGTCCAGAGAAATATTAGGCTCAAAATTTTAAATATGATGCACCAGATTGACTCGCGCAAAATAGGAAAGATTCGCTTTAAATTGAAACATTGTCCTTAATTGTGGGTGTCACTTTAAATCAATAATCTTAAATCAATTCGCGTTAAATCGACGTTCTACTGTTGTAGAAGTAGTGTGTGTGTGTGTGTGTATGTCACATGGGGGTAGGAGGCACAGGCCAGGTGGGTGGCGATTCAGCAATTCAATTACAGCCCACTACCTCCACAAGTTCATTTATTTTATAGGTTTATATTATATTTTCTTTATTTATAAGCTGCATCAGAGTATTGTAATGATTATTCCAAAACTTTCATAGTTACATTACATGTAACAATGGCAATGTAGACACTTCCAGGTACCTGAACCATTATTGGTTCCGATGAGTTCAGATAAAAGGAATTGCACTGTAGCACAAGATAGCTTACAACTACCAGGACAAGGATAAAGCAGTTTGTAAAGCAACCATCAAATACATTGTAAGAATGGCTTCTATCATTACAACATGTATAACTATATCAAGACCAAATATTACCTGGAAGATCCTCTCGTTCAAATGATGGTTTGGCCCATTTTTCAAATCCTCCACAAAGAAATCCTCCGTTGAATTCTCTCATGTAAATATTTGCATCTGGATCTCTTACAGCTGTAAAAAAAGAAGAGAAAAAAGAGAGGAAATTAATATACCATTTAAGTTGTAGAAAATGTTTCATCCCCCCATATAACAAGGGTTACTCAACAAGTTCTTAAGTTATTTAATAATTCCAATAAAAAAAAGGTTATAATTTACTATGAATAATGAATTAAAGATAGATTAAAGTACACTATAAAGGTAACTTACACCCCTCACACTGTCAACTTGGGACTTAAAAAAAAAAATTCACAGAATGGCTAGAGGTGTGAAATTCAGTTGGCAAGAGATCTCATATGGCTGAGATGGATTTTGAAACACAATGAAAACTGAGTCAATAACTCCTGAGCTGACACCTTAATGTTTTTTTTCGGGGGAGGGGGAACCATCAAATTCAGAATAAATTGATGCTCTGAGAAGACTGCAGTGCATCCAGTTTATCACAGGACATTTTTCTGCCACATTGCACTGCATGTTACCTGGGTAATGGCAAGCTATTACAAGAGGTGTTTACCTTAACATCTCATAGGTCACCTGTGAAACCTCACAGGCCATGAACTATATCATGATTAAACAGAAGATAACTTATAAATATTTAAAGTACAGTACAGTTATACCCCAGTTAGCACTACCCTGTAGAGCGCTGTTTCATTCTAGTACATGTGCTCCTCTACTTACGAATGAGGAACGTTCCTGAGGCTTGTTTGTAAGTCAACTTTACTCTTGTAGATACCAAATATATTGTAAAAAATGAAAAGATTATGGATATTTAGTACAGCTATACCCTTTAATACAGCCTTAAAATCTGGCTCACTCTTCTCCTCTTAGGTAATGTTTGTTCTATCTAGAATTTTCTTCAAAATAATCCAGTCTCATCCACATTAAACACCTGTTCTGGCAGGTAACCCCCCTCAGTGATGATGTTTGCATCTCTGAAAGTTTGTAAGTTGAACGTTCTTAAGTAGAGGAGCAGCTGTACTCTAGGTCTAGGAAAAAAAAATGTAGTCAAAAGTCACGAGTCCAAACACTCACAACATGACAAGAGCAGCTCTCTTTGTTTTGACTCACTATGGTAATCAGTGCCAACTGCTCTCTGTTTACAGTACATGTACAATGAAAGACAAAAGTCATGTCGTTAAATGTGGTGAAAAAATATGCCGAAGGGCTAAACTTTTGGTGCGCTCTGCCTTGGGGTAGGGGGCTCTCATAATATTTCACGAGTTATGTTTAATCTTCGGACAAAACCGCGACACGACTTTTGTCTTTGATTGTACACTTAAACAACTGATTAATGAATAAACCAGGGAAGATACAGATGCATAAAATACTATAATTTGATCAAGTGATCATAAATACACAACAATAGTATTTATCAAGTGATGATAAACACACTGTTCCGGCTAATGGGGATAACACCCAGGAAGAGCTCTGCATCAAATGTTCTGGCTAACAGGTATATCACAGTACAGGGTAATCTAAAACAAATTTATATATAAAGGTCCTAACCTGGCATCATTGGGTTGATTTCGTCCAGTGGTTGAGTGTAAAGAAAATAATGTTCAGCTGGATGAACTGGCACTTTAACATGAGGTTCTGACATCTGGCCAATTTTTCTTGCCCACAAGCCACCAGTGTTTACAATGTAGTCACATTCTATCATCCCCTTGCTGGTCTCCACGGCAACTACACGATGATGATCATGGACTACCACGCGAGACAGCTGACATTCCTCCACCACGTGAGAACCTGTAGATAATGCAATAAATTTTAGCTTTACTGTACAGCTGTTCATCATATACAGTGTACATATGAGGAGCTCTGGATCATAATTTTAGGTTCAATTCTATAAAAAGATTTCTTAGTAATGTTAAGGCATTTGTCTATAAAAGGCCTAGGGTACTTAAGGTTCAAGCCAATATTATAGATATATTTATAGAACGGATCCTAAGCCCACCCATGACAATAAGAATCTCTTAGTATTACCATATAAAAAGAAAATACTCTCAAATTCCTATACAACCGAAAATCTGGAATGTTAATGTGGCATTTAAAAACTCATGCACTGTAAAACAAATGTTAATTAAGAACTCCCCCAACAATGCAGGCGGCTGCATTTACAAGGTTCCTTGCAAGGAATGTAATATGTTCTACTTAAGCCAGACAGGTAAAGATCTTTTAACTAGACTTAAACAGCATAAATATAGTGTTTGGACAGGCCAGGAATCCAATGCTCTGTTCATTCATATGAGAGATAATAAGCATTGCATTGACTGGGATAATGCCTCCTCAATATTACCTTGCAATTCAATTGTCAGTTGGAACATTATAGAATCCAGTCTCATTAAACATACCGAATCTGTCAACATGAATTTGAGTAATGGCATGTACAAACTGGATAATTTTGTGATTAAGAAGATTTGTAACCAGGTGAAGTGTGTATGTAGAATACAATATTGACTAAATTCACTAGATAACGTACACAACTAATGGTTGGTAAAACTTGTCAAGTAAGTGAGTGTCAAGTCTGTCAGTATAAGTGGCATGTGTGGAGTGCTTGTGTCCCCATAGGAGTCCGTTTTCTCTCCCTTCAGAGACTTCGTTATTCCTTAGTAATGACACAGAATTTGAAATTGCAACCCCAATTGCAACTGGGGTTGCAATTGTTGAGGCAACTAGATATGTCTGATTACAGCAAATGTGTTATTGTCAATTTGTAGGTGAAAGATTTTATCCTCAATAGATGTACGTTAACATTACACCTGGAGGCAAATGCTTACTAAAGCCTAAGGAAGAATATTCCTTTAACACATAATATCTGGCCAGTATGGGAAGGATCATCGTGTCTCCGTCAGGGAGTCGTGGAGCGGTGGTCCAGCAGGCGTCACGGAATTTTTTTTGGGGTGGGGCACGGACGTATATGCGATCGGACGTTGTTCACATATGGTTTTACGCGGTTAATTAAACCCAAGGAGGTCCGCGTATAAAGCACAACACGCAACCCCACACCAGTCTGAGCAGAAATATTTCTCAGTTCATGGTTTGCTTTGTACAATGCAATCACTGCTGCAATGTCGTCCATTGTAGTAACCCTCCTGGACATCTCTGATGGCCACTATGTCGGGGTAATGCACCATAAATGAGGCAAAAAATGGTCATGGGGTGCGCAAACCCGCAGAGTTAATCTTCCCCTCACGATTGCCAGAGGTGCACGGAGAGTAAGCCGTGACATGTGCTCAGTTGCCAAGTGTCACCACTTACCAACCAACCAAGCGTACTAACATCTCGCATCCCGGGAGAGCCTTCACAACATATCAACTTATTTACGCGAGAAGTTTGTTCGACGGCCCTATAACGACCTAACTTTCCGCGCAGACTGTAACTATGGTCCTATTTCAACCAATCACATAAGCAGTAACAGTGCACATGAGACCCTTGCAAAATGAGACCTCACTGTACTACATACTATAATCTGCAAGATGCCCTGTGCTACGGTATTTCTTCCACTTCTGGTAAGTAAAGCGAAAGGTAAATGATTGGGTTAAAGAAATCCAAGCTCTGCCTGATATTGCTAAAACAGAGCCACATACGGCTTTTGCGGCATTCACCCATAGAGTCAAGCATCGCAGGAATTACCTGATGCGCACTATCCCTGATATCAGATCCCTCCTCTTCCCTGTTGAAGAAGCCACCAAGGTCGTTTTTATCCCAACACTAGCGAGAAACCCTTATTTAACCCCAGCAGAAAGGTCACTCATTACACTACCACCGAGATTGGGAGGAATAGGATTGACTAATCCAGTGGAACTTGTCCCCACTGAACATCAGAACTCTGTCAAGCTCATGGCAGTCCTCGCTGAGCATATAATAGCTCAGAATGCAGCAAGTCAGGCGGATACCAACGAATTAAACAAGATTCGACAGTCCATTACGACAGAACGGCAACATACCCAAAGTGATAAACTGCACAGGAGGTGGACGCCTCGAATGGCTAACAATGTTACCGATAAGGACAAAAGGCTTCATCCTTCATAAACAAGAATTCACAGATGCCATTGCTCTAAGTTACGGTAGGCCAGTAGAAGGTTTGCCCTCGCAATGCGTGTGTGGCTCATCTTATGACATTGACCACTAGCCTCTAAGATACAGGCACATAAATTCACAGGCAAGATTTTTAAGTGGATTGATTAACAATTGGCTCGAAGGCAGGCAACAAAGAGCGGTAATAAATGGAGTAATTCAGAATGGAAAAGGTTCTCAGTGGAGTAACACAAGGCTCTATCCTTTGATCCCACTGTTTGTGATCTACATACAAGAGGTAGATAAAAATATATGGGGGCCACTTTGTCAAGTTTGCGAACGACACAAAGTTATTTGGGAAGGAAGCTAGTCAAGATGATGATGGTGATGTCACAACAATGCAGAAAGTCTCAAGACTGGTACATGCTGTTTAAGATTATGAAATGCAAGACCCAACTCATAGAATACAGCAACCTTATTCACAACTATTCTGTTAATAACACTTTCCTGGATACTGTCGATAAGGAGAAAGATCTTGGAATTCTGACAATCATTCAATGATGGCAGTGCAACAAATGAGAGCAGCAGTGAGAAAAGAAAATCGAGAATTGGGAATTATAAAGTGTACCTTTGAAAACAGAGAAGAAAATGCTCCTTCAACTGCACAAATCTCAAGTACGTCCAAGTCTGGAGTACTGCATACAGGCATGGAAACCTTGCCTGCAGAAAGATCTAACATCCCAAGAAAAGGTGCAACAAAGAACCACTAGATGTTTCCAGAACTATGTCATCTCGATTACCCAAGTAGACCGAGGGCCTTAGGACTAACAACTCTTCAGACAAAGCACAACAGGGCAGATTTCATTGAAACATTAGAAATCCCAAAAGGGATGGATAACATGAACCCGGGACATTTCTTTGTGATGTCATACACAAGGGGACATAACTACAAGCTCACCAAGCTACCATGCATAATGAATATAAGGAAATACTTTTTCACACAGAAGATAGTAGACCTATGGAATGCTCTACCAGCCCAAACTGTGTAATCAAAAACAGTACTGGTCTTTAAAATAGCCTTTGACAAAATTACCAAGAATAATGGAGGGATCCTAAATAGGGAACTGTTCGCCTTGGCATGGCCACCTCTTGTGGGTGGGTATTAGGTAAATAAGGTAAATAAATTAAGCATGTTTACCGTCAAGAATGACTTGTGAATATAGTAACAGCTAGCTAAGATACAAGAGAAGAGGTAGTAAAATTGCCCTCCAAATGCTGTGTGATTATGCACCTCCTATGGTAGAACTCGTCTTGTTTAACCTGGCAATGAGAGACAAGAGATATCCTCAAGTGCAGTTTGCTGATGGTGCCCAGATTTACTAATGATGGAGCAAGAGCCTGCAGATTCTAGGGCCTATGGAATTTGAGGTCCATAGACAATACATTAAGACCTTATGACATTCAGAAATAGCTGAACAATGGCACCAGTTGATAAAATAATACCACACAAACTGAATCTTCATCAGTAAAAAGAAGAAAAACCCAAATCCATACCCATGACTAATAAAAATGCCAACATATTATACCTAGATGTTCAATTACACCCCACTTTTTCATCATTACTCCAGCTTTTACAAATACTTTACTACAGGTATTATACTGTAGCTCATTCCACTAATACAGTACATCCTATTAATTGTGATAAGCTGTGTATCATATTAAAGGATAATATCTAAAAGGGATCATTTTCAAAACATTAAACTTAGACTTTAAATTAAATAAAACAAATAACTTATATGAATGTTAATACAGTGACCCCTTGGTTAACAAGCGCCTCGGTTAACGAGATTTCGGTTCATGATTTACCTTCCATAAGATTCTTAACTTCGGTTAACGAGCAATCCCTCGATTAACGAGTTTTTTACAAGTCGACTTCAACATGTTTTCGCTTGCATTTGGCGGTCCACCAGCTGTAGTATTAGTCCGCCAATACAGTAATCGGTTTTAGGGCTTAAATTCCTTACTATTTTCGTAAATATCAAGAAGTTTAAACTATTCAATAATTTTAAAAGTTTAATATTAACTTTTTTAGTCATTTTAACAATTATTGAACATAATTGAAGGTAAAGAAACTAGTTTCTGGCGTGCCATCCAGCCTGTTAACACACCAGACAGGCATTAGTCTCTCTCTGTTTTCAGTGGAGGTAACATCTTGCTTGAGACTCTCTTCAACTAAACGCTTTTTTTCTGTGTTTCCAAGCAAATTATTGGTCATTTTGAAATTTATTTTACATATTGACAATATATAATGCAGTGCAGTGTTGATTTAAAGAAAATAATCTTGAATTACACCAAGAGAACTAAAATTTTATGGGTGAAATGGTGCCATGGGGTGACTTCTCTTCCACCCCAATGCCTTCTCTTCTCCCTTCTCCACCCCCATTCTAATTCCCATCATCGTCATCATCATCATCCAGGAGCCTTCTACATACACACCTCAAAGTAAGCGTACTTTTCTACCTTTTTTGTTGAATTTAGGCAATTTTCGGTGAGCTGGAACCAATTACCCAAAAAGCCATTGAAACAATGGTTTCGGTTAACGAGTTTTTCGGTTAACGAGCAACCTGCTGGAACGAATTGTTCTCGTTAACCGAGGGACCACTGTACAGTATTATTACAGTATAAATATGGACCTAGTGGTGGTTTCCTCTAGTAGACAAAATTATAAACCCTTGGAAGTCAGAGATATTTTTCCTTCTTACCTTTTTCTAGAGCTAGTTTTAGAAGGGTATATGTAAGTTTATAAGAGTCACACACACCATCTTCAGGAACCCATAATGCACCCACAATGTCTGATGTGTTAAGGATTTCACATTTTTCAGACACTTCCTTTGGTGTCAGCATGTAACATTCTGTCCCTCTGGCCCTGGAAACACATAATAGTATTACACACAGTACAGTACTATAGTTAAATAACTTAAGTTCCATAATCACATTTTACTTGAAAATAAAAGATTAATGTACTGTACAGTTGCCTCCACATAAATATACCACAGCTGGGAGTGTATGTGAGGGCTCAGGTATGAAATGTGGCAATGCAGTGCCGTAGTCAAAGCTGAATGAATGGACATGAAACAGTGAAATTACCATGTTTGTGATAAGATACAAACACTAAACAGATAAATGAGCCCTGTAATACGTGTTGTGCAGCATTGTTGTTTAGCCATTACCGAGAAACTAGGACTGAACTATGGGGAATCAGCAAACGGGGTAATCCACAGATTTACGCCCATGGCTATGGTACTGCATTGCCATATATCGTAATTGTGTCCTCACACACTCCCAGGCTGTGATACATTCGTTTGGAGGCAAATATACATATGTTGTGTTTTATGTTATGTATCAAAAACCCGGCATTCATATAGTTTTATATCCTATATGCAGTGCAACTCCAAAATTTAACTGTAACAGGGACATTAAAGCAAGCAAACATATCAAAACAAATTGTTTTTACCCTTTCAACCTTTTCATGCTATAATGCAGGGTAACCAGAATCAAAAGTTTATGCACACAACACAAACACATTATCACTTCATTCAATGTCATTCAATCATACTGCTGAAGTAGACCTGCTGTGCCATGAGACTCCCCTTGCACATGAAGGACCCAAACCTGTTTTACTCTTGTCATTTTACACAACCTATAATTAAATAATCAGCCATCATCAACATGTCCCTTTCCAAAACATTCCAGTGCCATGTGCTCTGCTTATTCAAGGACACAGCTGCTTCCTGGATGTCTATCCCTGTACAGTACGTCTAGTGTGTCCTTCACCCAATCCTTCCATCTCCTTGGTCATCCTGTCATCTTCCATCCCCCCTTCCTTGGTTCCTTGACCCCATCCTAGTTTTGTACATGATCAGAAAGTTGTTTATTGTTCATTTTTCATCACATTTCTATATGATTAATCATATTTTCCTTTAGAGTTTGGCTAATTAATACCGATATCAAGTGAGAACAACAATCATTGTGTTTTTTGGGGGCTTAAATAATTTTTATAGTATATTGTATTGCGACTCAGGCAATAATCTTTTCACAACAGGCAGAACTGTTTAAGAGCAATGACATTCACAAGCCATAGGTTCTAAATGAACTTAATCACATGATTTGAACAGGAATTGCTTTAGCAGTAGATGTGCCAGCAAATTAAGAAAATGTTACTACAGTAAACTTTACATACTGTAAATGATGCATGAATCACAGTAGCCGATGGAAAGAAAGTGAAATGTTATGTGAAATGAGGAAAGTAGTCCGTGAGTTTACAATTTCCAAGTACCAGTGGTCCCTCGGTTAACGAACGCCTCGGTTAACGAAATTTCGCTTAAAGAATTACCTTCCATAAGAATCTTCAATTCGGTTAACGAAAAAAAATTGATTAACGAAATCCTTACGAAAATCACATTTTGTTTTGAACATCAGCTGATAAGCTGAGGAGGTACTCAGCCAATTCAGTGATCTCTTCTATGTTTACATTCAAACTAATCACTATCTTATAAGAATTCCAGCAATGCAAATTAAATTCACCCCGGTCACTTCTATAAAATGTTATAAGCAAAAAACAAAAACTCAATCTAAAGGACATAAATTAACAATTAAATACTTCACACCACAGGTGCCAACTGTCAAACATTTCACTGTCACCCCTCCCTCCCTCCCCCCCACCTCCCACCTTCCTGAGAAACGTTTGGGGAAAAAGACTAGGTTTACAGGTTTAAAAAATAAATAATACCTCCGACTAAAGTTAGGATAATATAATTTGCATTGCTGAAATCCTTGCAAGACAGGGAATAATATGAATATAAACGTCATATATTTTGCACAAGATAAAAGTTTTGCTCTCCCTAATAAAATTTTTAAATTAAATCTAAAATTTGTATGTCAAATGCAAATTTTAGCTTGTTTATATTAAAATTAATCACTATCTTATAAGAATTCCAGCAATGTAAATTATATTCTGGCATAGTAATTTATATGAATTTTGTAAGCAAAAACAAAAATCTCAAATAAATAAACAAACACCAGACACTCTGTTACCTCACCTCCCGCTCCCCTCCACTTCCCATGCTCGCTGGCTACCTCCCCCCTTGCATTCCCAGACAAAAGATTGATGATATCTTTATGCTTTAAGGTGTTTATTTTATATAATATCTCAGACTAAAGTTAGGATAATATAATTTGCATTGCTGAAATCCTTGCAAGACAGGGAATAATTTGAATATAAACTTCATATATTTTGCACAAAAGATAAAACTTTTGCTCTCCCTAATAAAATTCTTAAATTAGATCTAAAATTTGTATATACAGGTAGTTCTGCTTTAACGCGATAATTGTGTTCTTGTAAAATATCGTGTTATAGAAAATCGCGTAATAGAAATAACAGGGCTTATGGAGAAAATAGGGTTAGGTGCAGATACTCGAAATCGAAAGAATTTAGTAGTTAGCCTAACACAAAGGATAGCACAGTCTAAATAAATGTTACATTCATATCTAATAATGAAATCATACAGTAAATGTAACACTTTACTTGATGGGGGAGAAGGGTGATTTTGAGGTTGATAAAATCGAGCTTCTCTTCAAGAGTTATATCCTTTCTTTTACGATCATCATCAGGAATTCTATCACCAGAACGCTTCTTGTTGATATTCTTCTTTACTATATTCACAGTTAATACAGTGGGGTATGCTATAACGAACGGATTCTACTACGAATATTCCTATAACGAACGGTTTTACCTATAAAATTGAGAATGCTATAACGAACGAAACTCCTACAACGAACATTATTTAATTTTTTTTTTTTTCTAATTTATTGTTTTTTTATTACAAATATTAATGATATTCTTTATTTCAGGGGTTTAGATGCATCTTTATGCACTTTTTTACAATTTTTAAAATTTTATATTATATTTTTCAGTGTTAAGTGGTTGTATTTGGGGGCCTGGAACGGATTAATCCTATAATGAACGAATGCTATAACGAACAAGGTTCTAGAACCAATTAGATTCGTTATAGCATACCCCACTGTACAACAAAATTGGAGAAATAGTAAGCAAAAATCGCGTTATAGCAAACAAGCGTTCGCGTTATACAAATATCGTTCCTAATTCATAAATCGCGTTAGAGCAAATTCGCGTTATCAAAACACGCGTTATAGCAGAAATCACTGTACTGTACTTTTCTGTGAGCTGGAACCAATTACCCAATATCCCAGTGAAACAATGGTTTCGGTTAACAAAATTTTCGGTTAACGAACGACCTTCTGGAACGAATTGTGTTCGTTAACCGAGGGACCACTGTACGGAGAACACTGTACAATATCGACAGCACTGTACAGTACATGTATGCAAAATAAAATGAAGGAAATGTTGCTTACTCTGCAATGGCCTTCATTTTACGAAAGTGTGTCATTCTGTCACGGGCACGAGCAAGATGAAGTCCTCCACTTTGTTTCCACCCTGTGTCATGTCCAGCTTCAGCTAGTTCTTGTGCTAGTCTTTTACTTGACTGCAATACATTCATTTCTGGTTTGATAAGTTTTACACCACCAAGAAAGCCAGATCCCCTCCAAGAGGATGTTCCACCAATTCTGCAAGATAAAAAAGTGATGATGTTTGTAAAGTTTATACTTTTATCCTGCCCTTTCATTGCCAAGTTTTCACAATTGCTCACTATAAACCATATATTGTAATTGTCTATTAATGAGCTCAACAGAAATAAACATTACTACCAATTCTTATTACCTTCCTTGCTCTAGCATAACAGTGTCTGCACCCCATCCAAGCATAGCCAGATGATAAAGTACTGAGGTGCCAACCATTCCACCCCCACACACGACCACTTTGGCATTCTTTGGTGGGACGTCATCCAGTGGTAATGTTGAAGATGTGTGTAGTCCTAAACATTCAGAGAGAAAAAAATGAAAATAATAATTATACAGGTATCTAAAGGTACCTAAGTTTATAACTCTAAATCTAATATAAAAGTAGTAAAATGATGAAATGTGCAATGTTTTCATTTACAGGTATACCCCAAAAACTGACGTCCCATTAACCGCCAGTTCGCATAACTGATGATTACAAATAGGGGAAATACTCTCCAGGTGTCCTTGTTACCCCATTGATCAGACGATTAGGGGAGAAGCGACATAGCTGGCTTGAATTTGGCGGGCGGCGGCGTGGTACGAATTCCTGCCATGAGAAGGCTCTGTTTGCTGCCTCTGACTCATTCCTGCCTCTCTCTACCTTTTTACACTTACCTTGTATCTCTGAATTTGTGTTTTTTCATTATTTCCAACTTCATGTGTTATGCAATCATGCCTAAACGCCCCAGTAATACTTCCTCTTGCTTGATATGATGATAAGGCATAATAAGAGTGGTGATGGACCAGCAAAGATTGGTAGAGACTTAAATTTACCATCCTAGACAGTCTCTACCATCCTCAACACAGGAAAATAAGTCTCATTTATGCTTTACGTTGCTCATTTAACCCATTGAGCACCAGCTAATATTAGACGTAATAGACACCCCAGTGTCGGCCAAATATATATATATATATATATTTTTTTCCCTAAATCATCTCAAAATGGTCCAGGAAACATGAAAATCACAAGAATTCCCACATCTGTGTGGTAACACTGCATAGTAAGTGGTGGTGGAAGAGGTAGGGAGGGCCTCACGGCGCCCATCACCATGGCAATCGGCTGAGTCATGCTCCTCCCCCACGCCAATCTGACAGTTCTCCACTTTCCTCACACCCCTTGTGTGTGTGTTTCTTTTGTTATATTTCTGGTTATTCCTCCCACATCAATCATTATTCAATATGCATGTTAGAAAATGAATAAAACACCGCTATGAGTTGATATCTTTTTATGATATTGGCTTATCCAAGTCCCCCCCAATTGCATACAATTAGGTATTATCCGTTTCTGTGAATGGTAAAGGCTACGGAGGGTGTCATGCCAGCACTGTCACTCATTGTTACCTGGTTCACATCATATTATTACACTAATAGTTCTGAAGAGTGTGATAGTCCTTGAACCATGGTGCTATTTTACACTCACAACAGCAGTAACGAGTGTCCTTCCTCTTCTTTGCTCTTCGTGACGTGTTGTAGCAGACGTGACACTGCTTCTGTGCTTTACTCTTGCCAGGTGTTGGTGGTAAGGTGGAAGGAAAGTGGCGGCCTCTGAGGTGGAGAGGTGTGTCACGAGCTGGATTACGGTGTTACATGTCGTTCTTGCCAGTATGTCTGAAACATCTCCCTCACCACTTCAACAAGAAGATGAAGTATTCTGATCATAGAGCGGGTCATTATATGACTCAGAAAAATCATCTGGGGTAAGCTCTGATGTAGGCTCATATTCGACAGCGAGTTGTGAGTATTCAGCCTCAGTCAGCCTGGAGCGAGAGCGACGTGACGTGTTCATGAGTGGCTGGCGTGAGCGTGACTCACTGAGTGATGAACACTGTCGCCGCTGTGGCATGCAGAGCGTGGAGCCACGTGGCCCGGGAAGCAGCATTACCAGTAGGCAAGGAGGGGGTGATAATGTAGCTCTAAGCGCATCTCGCTACTACCACAAATATGAGTTCAGGTCAATGCTAAATCTAGCCACATACTTTTACGGGACTAGCACTGGTCATGGACGGTCACCCATCTCGTATAAGTACGGGATTAGCGCTCGACGGGTTAATATTGATTATGTTTGCTTTACAGTCTGTGTCTGTTTTATTTTCTTGCCTGACAGTGTGCATGGCAACCATATATTAAGGGTAGATAGGAGTTTTTTGGGGGTGGTCAGTCCCCAACCTTCTTAATTTTTTCTATTCACATGGGATTAACTGCTTCAATAACCATTGATTCACTAACCAATGACATGTCACAGCCCCTATATGCATCAGTTATCGGTGGCTGCCCTTATATCCTTCACAATGTGCCTACTGCAGAATAAAAATACATTAGGATGGATAATGTAGACATGCTACATCCTTCTTTCCCATATATGTAATCCCTCAGTCAGTCCTCCCATGTTAATAATTCCTCAGTCAGTCCTCCCATGTTAATAATTCCTCAGTCAGTCCTCCCATGTTAATAATCCCTCAGTCTGTCCTCCCATGTTAATAATTCCTCAGTCAGTCCTCCCATGTTAATAATCCCTCAGTCAGTCCTCCCATGTTAATAATCCCTCAGTCTGTCATCCCATGTTAATAATCCCTCAGTCTGTCCTCCCATGTTAATAATCCCTCAGTCTGTCCTCCCATGTTAATAATCCCTCAGTCAGTCCTCCCATGTTAATTATCCCTCAGTCAGTCCTTCCATGTTAATAATCCCTCGGTCTGTCCTCCCATGTTAATAATCCTCAGTCTGTCCTCCCGTGTTAATAATCCCTCAGTCTGTCCTCCCATGTTAATAATCCCTCAGACTGTCCTCCCATGTTAATAATCCCTCAGTCAGTCCTCCCATGTTAATAATCCCTCAGTCTGTCCTCTCATGTTAATAATCCCTCAGTCAGTCTTCCCATGTTAATAATCCCTCAGTCTGTCCTCCCATGTTAATAATCCCTCAGTCAGTCCCCCATGTTAATAATCCCTCAGTCAGTCCTCCCATGTCAATAATCCTCAATCTGTCCTCCCATGTTAATAATCCTCAGCCTGTCCTCCCATGTTAATAATCCCTCAGTCAGTCCTCCCATGTTAATAATCCTCAGTCAGTCCTCCCATGTTAATAATCCCTCAGGTCCTCCCCATGTTAATAATCCTCAGTCTGTCCTCCCATGTTAATAATCCCTCAGTCTGTCCTCCCATGTCAATAATCCCTCAATCTGTCCTCCCATGTTAATAATCCCTCAGCCTGTCTTCCCATGTTAATAATCCCTCAGTCAGTCCTCCCATGTTAATAATCCCTCAGTCTGTCCTCCCATGTTAATAATCCCTCAGTCTGTCCTCCCATGTTAATAATCCCTCAGTCTGTCCTCCCATGTCAATAATCCCTCAATCTGTCCTCCCATGTTAATAATCCCTCAGCCTGTCTTCCCATGTTAATAATCCCTCAGCCTGTCTTCCCATGTTAATAATCCCTCAGTCTGTGCTCCCATGTTAATAATCCCTCAGTCTGTCCTCCCATGTCAATAATCCCTCAATCTGTCCTCCCATGTTAATAATCCCTCAATCTGTCTTCCCATGTTAATAATCCCTCAGCCTGTCTTCCCATGTTAATAATCCCCCAGTCTGTCCTCCCATGTTATTAAAGGTTTTTCAGGACTTTAACTCATTTCACAAAATTAAATTCTTGCCCACAAAGCTGTGGCTGGTTCCATAGATTCCAAAATAGGTACAGCTTGTAAAACATAAGAGAGTTACTGGAGAAGCAGTATGTGGTGAAGTGAAAAGGTCCAAAACATTTTTTGAAATTCTGAAGAAAAAAAACAAAATAGAAGAAAGTATCTACAGTACAAAGCAAGATTTTAATGCTGAGAGAGTATAGGTATCCCTCACTATATACAGTAAATGTTCGAGACACAATAACTCAGTTAATGAATTTACAAAATAACCACCTCTTTTTCGTGTTACAATACAAAAGCTTCCCCGGCTTATACGAATTTGGATCGGCAAAAATTCAAATTGCATGCCCCTGGGAATCGGTTTGGGCAGCCACATCTCCTTAATCCTCTCCTTATCAGGCTGAGGTGGGAATTGTTATACAGATTAGTTATTTTTCAACTCATAATTCCTGATATATACTGTAAACATTACTTTCTTCATATTATTTTTTATTCCTTTACATGCATACACAATCCTACATAAAGAACGTGTAAAAAATATATACACAGTATATATACTATTTCTTTGTGTGCCAGCAAAACTTAGGTTATTATTCAAAGAGTAATTTTGCATATTCCTGTATAAATTAAACTTTCTTCCCTCTTTTTTAACTCAGTTACATGCACACAGAATCCTACATACGTGAGAAGAAGGTGAATCAAGCAACTTAATTAGTAGGTCTTATAAAAAGATCTTTCAGATATCTAGACGGTCTGTTCCTCGCAACGATCTTCAAGAATGAGGTGCTTCCCTGCTTTGAATACTGTCACCTCGTCTGGTCCCCAAGATATGCTAGAGACTGTTAATCGATTGAAAATGTCCAAAGGAGGGCCACCAGACTCGTGCCTGCACTTCGGCACCTCAGTTACCCTGAGATATTAAAACACCTGCAACTGCCGAGTTTATACTACAGATGAGCAAGGGGTGGCCTAATTGGTGTATAAATATCTCAGAGGGCACTACTCAGTCGAGTGTCCATACCTGGAGTTGGAGGACACCCACTCCACAAGGGGTCACAGCTCAAGATTGAAGAATCCACACCGAAAACTGACTGCTCAAGCAGAGGATAAAAGTATAATGTGCAAAAAGGTACAAGAAATAACTATAATAAGGTCAAATAAATGAAGGGAATAAACATTTCTTTGTGTGTGAAAGCGGGACGTTGGAGCGTTGCTAATGGTTGGGAGGGGGAGCATCCCTAGCTGTGCTGGGTTTTTATGGAGAGGCTTGAGGGCGGTCAAGCGTGATGCAGCCAGCTTTTATACATTTGGAGGCTAGGCTAAAATTTGATTTAGCTTTTCTTTAATGGTTTTAGCTCGTATTTTCATCTAGATAGCTTTTTATTAATGTTTTAATGTCTTAAGTAGTAAATTACAGTAGGTGTGTACTATTTATTTTAGTTACCTAGGTACTTTTCTTTTTTGTGAATTGATTTCATGTTTTAGGGGTATAATATTGGGGTATTTTTGTCACTGGAGAACCGAACCCTATTTTTCCTATTCTGTTATTCGAGATATGAAAATTCACTTAACAATTTATTTTTTTTAACCTAACCCATTCGTATATTGAGGATAACTGTAAGCCTTTATTTGAAATTTTGGAGTGTCAGCACAATGACTAAAAGAGCACTTCACAAGCTAAATCTATTCTCTCATTGCAAGTAAAAATGTTTTTGCATATTACAGGTATACAAATAAAATCAAACTGCTTATTCTACTGACAATGTCCCATTTGTTATTTTTTTTTATTGGTCATGCATATGTTAAGTACATAAACTATCTTGTACAGTATGTACAGTATTTATATTTTTACAATCTTACTAGCTTACCTTCTTCATGGCTATTGCTGTGGTATTGGTGTGGAGGGTACCAGGTACCCTTCAAAATCTCTCCTGTTGACTGCACACCAGTATGACAGTGTTGGCTTTGAAGAGGATACAAGAGACCCAGATTTCTACACTGGATGCTCAAGTTCCGGAACATGGCACCTGCTGGTTACTGCAGTCTGTCTGCTGAAAATGTTAAAAAACGTTACCCATAGGATCAAAGACTCACTGGCTCGTGAATTTCAAAAATATTATACCCTAAAATTTTTAGAGGCCTGATTCTGAAAAACCCATTTTAATATATATATATATATATATATATATATATATATATATATATATATATATATATATATATATATATATATATATATATATATATATATATATATATATATATATATATATATATATATACAGATAGACCCCGACTTACGACGGGGTTAGGGACCCAAATCCAGGTCGTAAGTCCGACATAGATAATTTTTTTTTAAATAAATAATCTACAATGAAATACAGTACAGTAAAAGTAATGAATAATGAGGAATGGATACAGTACAGTGAAAGTAATAAATAATAAGGAATGGTTACAGTGTGACTGAGCACTTACCTTTAATGTAGTCAGCTGAATGCACATGGGGCCCCCATAATTTTCTAATTATACATGGAGACTACATTAACTGGAAACGTTTCGGTATAGAAAATGCGTGTAAAAAAAAAAAAAAAAATTTAATAAAAAATCTGAGGCGGTCGTAAGTCCCGACGGTCGTAAGTCGAAGCAGTCGTAAGTCGGGGTCTGTCTGTATATACAGTATTACCCCGCTTTACGCGGTTTCACTTAACGCGATTTCTCATATACGTGGTGCCTCGCCAGAACCGAACTTTCACTTAACGCGGTTCATCTACTCATATACGCAGGAAGCAGCGCGGGCACGATGCGCACAAGGTCGCCCAGCCATCAAAACATTACCGAGTTCTTCACCCGCCACCCACCACAGCCGGCCCCAGTCAGTGATAGTGATAATTATAGTGAGGATATGGACTTATATGGACTTTGAGGGGTTTGACAAAGAGGCCCTGCAAGCCTCTGTGGTGGATAGTGATACAATTGATACAAGTGATACAGGTGAGGGTCAATAATCTGCCCTCTGCCTCAGAACCAACCCCCCATCCCCGTGTGCCCAACCATCTTTTCTACTAATATAAGTGTTAAAAAACCTAATATTATTGATATTTCTCTTAATTATTAATTGTGTGTGCATACCATCATAAAGTTAAGATAATATTTTTACTACAACATAGTTGTGTGTCGTCAAAAAGTGGAGTTTGGGGGTCGGGCCAGTCTCTATTGGAATTAATCCCATATGTTCTGTTGTTCACTTAACGCGGTTTTCACTTAATGCGGTACCCTGTGGGTTCAATTGACCGCGTAAAGCGGGGTACAACTGTATATATATATACTGTATATATATATATATATACACAGTGGGGTATGCTATAACGAACGGATCCTACTACGAATATTCCTATAACGAACGGTTTTACCTATTAAATTGAGAAAGCTATAACGATCGCAACTCCTACAATGAACGCGGATGAATACGGGACTACTTCGCCTGGCGCATGAATATTGTTGTACCGCGACCCACAACAAGAGCATCAGGCGCCATCTTTGTCTCATTGTGTAGCCAGTGCATCACTGTTATTGTTGAAATTTCGTCTTTTGATGTGGAAATAGAGTTATTTGTATAAATATTTTGTTATGCAAGTGTACAATTGTGACAATGAATCGTCCAAAGCGAGTGAGAAAGCTCATAACTCTTGAAACTAAGAAAGAAATCATAAAGAAACGTGAGGATGGAACAAGCATTGCGAAACTTAGTGATGAGTATGGGATGGCTAAATCGACTATATGTACGATTTTAAAGAATAAAGAGGAGTTGAAAACTGTGCAAGTGGCTAAGGGAATCTCTAGACTTAGCAAAGCAAGGTGTAATGTGATTGAGGAGACGGAAAAATTACTCTTAGTGTGGATAAAGGAGAAAGAAATGGCAGGTGATAGCATTAGTGAAGCTATAATTTGTGAGAAGGCCAAACAATTGTTTGAGGACCTTAAAGCCAAGACTCCCAGTGCAAGTGATAGTGATGTGCCAGTGTTTAGGGGTACCAAGGGGTGGTTTACTGGTTTCAGAAGGAGAAATAAATTACATAGTGTTGTGACACATGGTGATGCTGCTAGTGCAGATAAGGAAACAGCTAAGGAACACCATGACATTAATTTGAATGTTATTAAAGAGGAAGGTTTTGTTTCTCAGCAGGTATTCAACTGTGATGAAACTGGACTTTTTTGGAAAAAAATGCCTCGCCATACATACATTACCAAGGAGGAAACTTCTGTCCCTGGCCACAAGCCAATGAAAGACAGGCTTACCCTCCTTCTTTGTGCTAGTGCTTCTGGTGACTGCAAAATAAAGCCACTCCTTGTGTACCATGCAGAAAACCTCAGAGCTTTCAAAAACATTAGGAAGACCCGCCTTGGTGTTATGTGGCGGTCAAACCCAAAGGCTTGGGTGACCAGGAATTTATTCTCTGAGTGGGTGATTGAGGTGTTTGGACCCAGTGTTCGGGAATACCTCAGGGAGAATAATCTTCCACTGAAAGCTTTGTTGGTGATGGACAATGCACCAGCCCACCCTCCTAATTTGATGGTTGAATTGCCAGAGGAGTTCAACTTCTTCACTGCACTTCTTGCCACCCAACACAACACCTCTCATCCAGCCCATGGATCAACAGGTAATTTCTAACTTTAAGAAGCTGTACACAAAGGCACTGTTTAGAAAATGTTTTGCATCCACTTCTTCCAGTGATGTTAGTTTGAAGGAATTCTGGAAGAGTCACTTCAATATAGCAGACGCTGTTTTTTTAATTACGTCAGCCTGGAAAGAGGTTACTGTGAGGTGTCTTTGTGCTGCTTGGAGGCCATTGTGGCCTGAATGTGTGCTTCAAAGAGACTTTGAAGGCTTCGAAGAGTTAGAGGAAGAGGCTGTTGTTCATGAAATTGTGTGTCTGGGCAATTCCATGGGCCTGGAAGTGGATGATGATGATGTTGAGGAGTTGGTGAAAGATCACAGTAAGGAACTGTCCACTGAGGAGCTGCTTGAGCTTCACAAAGAAGAAAACGAGACACTGAAGCGGAGCTTAACTTCTGAGGAGTCAGGGGAGGAGGAGGACAAGGAGGAAAGCCGCATCATTCCAGCCAAAGATCTCAAGGATGCGTTCTTTTGCTGGAGCAAACTGTCCAAACTTGCTGAGGATTATCATCCTGATGTTGGTTCTGTGCAAAAGGCCATCAGTGTATTTAATGACAATGTTATGAACTACTTTTGGAAGGTCCAGAAATCAAGGTTGAAGCAGCCAACCCTGGATTCCTTCTTTACAAAGGTAACAAAAGAACCTACAGACAAAGTGCCTGTGAGACAGTCACCAAAGACGGCTAGGAAGGATGACTCCTCTCCTTCCACCTCTTCTCCATAATTCTCTCCTCCCCCTCCTCCTCTGCCTCCTGTCCTGCATGCTGAACAACACTAAGGTAAGATAAAGTACCGTATTTTTTACATTTTCCACAAAATTTTTTCAGTGTTAAGTGGTTGTATTTGGAGGCCTGGAACGGATAAATCCTATAACGAATGAGGTTCTAGAACCAATTAGATTCGTTATAGCATACCCCACTGTATAAATATACAGTATTACCCCACTTTACGCGGTTTCACTTTCCGCGATTTCTCATTTACGCGGTGCCTCGCCAAAACCGAACTTTCACTTTCCGCGGTGCATCTACCCATATACGCGCAGAGTGTCTGGCTCGACGCTATTTTTAGATTCGACCCTCCCGCCTGCTCCCGCCTGGGCAAGCCGGGTGGTAAGGTTGCGCAGTGCATGTCTCTGTTGCGTTATCAGTGACGTCATATGACGTATCGGACTGTGATTGGCCATGCATCCTTACCTCCCTCCGCTGCTAGCTGTGATTGGTTTAAAGTAATATGACGTGTCCACCTGCGGGAGGGAGGGAGGAAAGACGACGCTTGACCTAATCGCGGCAGTTTCATCCCTCCAGGCCACACCGTGTATATGTGCATCCATTGTTCTGTGAAATGGCTTCCGCCGGACCACCGCCACCAGAAAGAAACCTTTCTTTACCTGGACTAAGCCGCCCTAAGCCAAAGAAGATACGACGTTCCCTAAGCTACGAAGTGAAATACCAGATAATTCAAGAATTGGAGAAAGGAACATGTCAAGCTGATCTCGCGCGCCAGCATGGAATCAACGAATCTACGATTCGTACTATTAAGAAGGATGCAGCCAAGATCAAAGAGCACATGAGAATCACAAAGTCTGCAGGTGCTTCAATGATCAAGTATTGCCAGAACAAGGTGCTGCTAAAGGTGGAAAATTTGCTGGTGAGTTACTTGATTCGTCAGGCGCGACGCAACATGGCGGTGGACACGCGATCCGTTCAAGAGTACGCACGTGAACTGTACGCAGCAGTGTCACGTAAGATGGGAATTGCAGAGCCCAAACCCTTCAATGCTTCCTCTGGTTGGCTGCATAGGTTTAAGAAGAGGAACAATATCACCAACATCAACATTGGTGGTGAAGAAGCGAGTGCTGACCGTGTGGCGGCTAGAGATTTTCCTCCGTTCTTACGTGAGGTTATGGAGGAAGGGCAGTACACTGACAACCAGGTGTTCAACATGGACAAATCCGGCCTATTTTAGAAAAAGCTGCCTACCAAGACCTTTGTTGTCCAGTCTGCCAGCAAGATTTGGGGTCGGAAGTTGCAGAAGGAGCGCATCACCGTCCTCTTTACCACCAATGCCTCCGGTACCTGTAAACCAAAGTAATCGGTGATTCACACAGCCCTCAAGCCACACGCCTACAAGAACGTGGACATGAGCAAGATTAATGTCCACTGGCTGACTGCACGCAAGGCGTGGATGTTCTCTCCTCTGTCACTCTCCTGGTTTGATGACTGTTTCATTCCCGACGTGAAGAAATTCTGTGAGCAACAAAATGTTCCATTCAAGATTTTGTTGCTCCTTGACAACGCACCAGGACACTCACCCCTACTTATGGATCGTCACCCCAACGTAAAAGTGGTCTTCCTTCCTCCCAACACTACGTCATTA